GTTACTATTAATATTATTATATGTGTGTGTACTGTCAAATTGGATCTGACTGGTACATGAGAGATTGCCCTTCCTTCTCCAGAAGAGCATCTGGTGGATTTGAACCGCATACCTCTGGGATTATAGTTCAGCTTCTTGCCACTAGGCCACCAGAGCTCCCTTACCTGTCATCTTCTTTTGATGCTTCCTGTATTATTCAAAACTTTGCCCATAGCATCTCAGAGTATTGCAACTCAAGGCTTGAATTTGTTTTTCAATTCTTTCAGCTAGAGAAATGGCAAGTGAGTTCTTCCTTTTCTTCAACTATTCTCCAACTCCAGTTCTTTGCACATTCCATTATAATATTTTACTTTGTCTTCCCCAGCTACCTTTTGATATCTTCTAGTCAGCAATTCTATTTTGACATCTCTTCACTTTGTTTGACTTCTCGATGCGCTAGTGCAATTTTCAGGGTCTCTTCCGTCGGTTTCTTCTTTCTCCTGTCTTTATAATGAACTTTTCCTTTCTTCATGAGTAATATCCATTACATCATCCCACAACTCCTCTGGTCTTCTATTATTGGTGTTTAATTCATCTAACCTTTTCTTAAGATGGTTTTAAAATTCAAATGAAACAGATTGAAAGTTCTATTTTTGGTTCTTATATACTTGTTTTAACTTTCTTCAGCTTTAGATTGAACTTGCACATGAGTAACTGATGGTCTATTCTACAACTAGTACCTGATCTGGTTTTGCTGAGGCTACTAGAGCTCCTTACATTTCTAAAATGAAAATGAAAATCCAAGTGCTCAATTTCTTAGTGGTTTGTGGTGTCACACAGTTTCAGAGAAGTAGACTTCACAAGTGTTTGAATGAAACAAACTCTGATTTTTCAATTATTAAGGATTTATGTTGCTTACTCAAAGAGGGTTGTTGTTATATTCCATCAAGTTGGAATAGACTCACAGCTGACCAGTTGACCCTCCAGGGGGTTTTCAGAGGCTATGAATCATATAGGAAGAAACTACCTAACTATCCTCTGTGAAACATGTGGTAGATGGGACGTGTGCTTTTGAGTTGGCACAATATTTCCTTATCCACTTGTCTACCAGAGCTCCCTTTTGTAAAGTAATAAAAAAGTAAAAATAATAAATTATAATCCCAGCTCACAGAGAGATAAATGAAATAACTCTCTCAGAGATTAAAAAATATCAATCCCTTACTATTAAATCTCCTGTAAGAAAATGTGATGATCAGTAGCAGGTTTAAAATCTTGTTTTGTACTGGATAGTCACACCTGTTAGTTGCTAGCCCTTATCTAGGGGTTAAGGAGCCCTAGTGGTATAGTCCATCAAGGAGCTGTTTGAGTCCATAACTAAAATGTGACACTTCCTTGGCAGTTAGGCTCCATCAGTGACTCCGTCGAAGAAAGATGGACAATCTCTTCTGTTGTGGCTTATAGCCTCAAAGATTTAACGGAAGGTCAGCTTTAACTAGGTTTTAACTTGTTGGCAAAGAGCTTGAGTTTTTTAGCATCTTAGAGTTATTTGTCACATTTCACTGTAAGGGTTTGAACTGGTTTGAGCTGGCTCAGTCACACTGGCATAGCAAAATCAGAAAAACAGCAATTTTTAAAATGTGAGTGTAAAAGAATAACAACCACCCACTGCAGTTGATGTGACTGACTCATCGCCACCTTCAGGTCTCCAAGGTGGTAAACTTTTAGTGGTGAATATGTCCCAAATTTCTTTCCTAGAGAAGCTGGTGGATTTGAACTGTCAACTTTTCAGTTATCAGCTTCACATGAAGTATACCATGTCACCATATCCCCATGTGGTGGTGGTGTTGTCATGTGCCATTAAGTAAAAAACAGCTTATAGCTGACCTTCTAGTGAGTTTTCCAGAGGCTATAAACTACACAAGAGGTGACTGTCCATCTTTTTCTCTTGCAGCAGCTACTGGTCCAATTTCCCTGTGTTTGGGTTGGTAGTATAACTCCTTATCCACCGGGCCACCAGAGTTCCATGTAGGAAAGAGAAATTATGAGTATGAACTGTGGATTGAGAGACTCAGGAGAGGTATAAAGTACCCCTTCAGGAGTCAGATGCAGGAGACTGGATTACTGCCTGTGAAAGATGGTATTAATAAAATTCAGGATTGTATTTAAATCACAACAAGATATAGTTATATGAAGTTATTGAAGTTTTGCACTCTGCTTGAGCTTTAGCTTTCTTACTAGTTAACTTCTCTGTAACAAGTTTAGCATTCTGTTGAGTTCCAGCTAACATGACTGGTTTACTCCCTGTAATGAAGTTATAGCATTTTGTTTTTCTTTTATCTTTAGACCCAGGTTTAATGTCTCTCTGTATTCTGTAAATTAGATGAGCTGATGTAATAAGTAATTTTGTGCAGCACCATTAAACCTCAACCTTAGAATAAGATCTCATATTCTGAGCAAATATTACTGTTTGGGAAAGTAAATGATAATTCCATACTGAAATGAAAAACATCATTTGTCTCCAAAAAGTAAATAATTTCTCCAAAAAACTATTTAACTCCAGGAAGAGAGATAGTCATGTATTTCTTGAGTTAGCATTGTTTAAACTTGGCACTGTTTGAAGAAATTTAGATTGTGTATGTCAACTGGACATGGTTTGTTGAAATCTAGGCTATTTGTAGAAGTTGGGCACTGTTTTCTTTAGTAATATGTGAGTTGTTCTTAAGTGGAAAGCTCTGTAACTCTTAACACAGGATAATGATATGTCAAGGAGATTAATAACTGACTGTGGAGCTCTGGTGGCTGAGTGGTAAAGCGTTATGCTGCCAACCAAAAGGCATGCAGTTCTAATTCACCAGAAGCTCTGTGGGAGAAAGATGGGAAATCCCCTTCTATGTAAATCACTGCCTTTGAAAACCCACTGGGGTGGTCAGCTATGAGTTGGTCCCAACTTGACAAGATATCAAATCTCTGATTATATGGAAAGAGGCAAGGCAGAGCAGTCTTGGAGAGAGAGCTTACTGCCTTCAGCAACCATGAATAAAGTGCAAACATTTGTCATTATTAGAAAAAGTGATTGTCAGCAGAAGGGCCCCCATTGTTTGCCCAGTTACAGCAGAACTGTGGAGAGCAATACACATTCAGCATTGCTACTGGTCACCATTTTTGAGCTTGGCACTGGTGTTTCCTACTCTGCAGATTAAGAGATCTGGGTGCTGTGCAGTGTGTACACTGCCCTTGTTTTCTGGAAGGGAGAGTAAATTTCTAACAGGGCACAATCAACCATATTTTCTACTGTTCCAGTATAGCCACACTTTGCAAATTCAGGTCCCTTCTAGTTTCACTTAGTTGGAGTGACTGACCCAGAAGAAGGCGTTTGAGTCTTTGTCAGGGAACTTCAATGGTACAGTTTTTCTTGCTCCCTTGTGAAGCTTCTCATTTCACCTGATTTCTTCTTAGCCTGATCTGAATCTTCATTTTCACTGCTAACTTTCCATTACTAGTTACCCTTAGCTTTTTTTTTCTTTTTCTGAATGAAGAATCTTTCAAATTTTACAAAGTTAGCCTCCATTTACCAGGTTGAATTTGCTTTCAGATATACAAGAAACAACATTCTTCTTTCAAATGAGAATAGTTCCACTGCCCAATACCATTTTCTATCCCTTACTTGCCTTTCACCCCACTAGGGGCATGAGCTTTGGTACTAGTCAGAAAATGAAATCTTTAGTTGTTATGTTGCTTTGAACATGCCAGTGCCTCCCTGGGAGAATGTTGATTAATCTCCTCCCACAGATTTGCAGAAACTGAAAACCTTGGAGATCTTCTGTTAAGAGTCAGCTCAGACTCCAGGGTAATTAGTGTGAAAGGGGAGTTCCTGTGGTTTTATCCTTCAACAAGTCACAGGAATTCTATATGTGAGAATTAGTGGTAAAGATCTACCAAAATATTACTGTACACATTGGCAACATTTAATAAGTATAATAAATATTATACTATATCTATTATAAGCCATTGAGCAATGTATGTACTCTGGTACTGCCTGCATAAATTAAAATTTGAAAATTTACATGGACCTTGAACTGCTACAAGAACAATATATTTTAACTAATCAAAAAAATTAGATTATTTTGTTCCTTCTAAATAGCTTACTTATTTTAAAGCATTTAAAATCTATATTAACTACAAATACTTCATATTTTCCCCCTCAATTAGCAGCACAGAATGGTTTACACCTAAATGTAAAAGATTCTTTAAAAAACAAACAAACAAAAAACCCCAAACAATTGTTTTGTTTTAAAACTCTAATTATTTTGGGTATTGTCTTCTGGGGATATTTATTGTTGATTTTCCAAGTGAACAGAGTGTTGACTCTAGAATACAAGCTAAACAGGGCCCATATCAGATAAAATAGTTTCATAATGCTACAAATGTTTTCTCATTACCAATTCTTCAAAGCCTTTCACAGCATTGATAAAAATAGTAATTTAGTTCTTCCCTGCAATAAGATGAAACTTATTATAAAACCACAAATTGAAGAAATAGGGGGAAAAGATGACTTCCATCTCAATAGCAATTCAATATTTTTTTTCTATTTTTAAATAAAATTAGCCTAGTATTAAAAAATCAAACAAGGAAATAAAACATCATCAAACAAGGGGAAGGATGGTAGACTGTGAATTTCTTAATCAAAAGTTACTGTTTTTAAGAGTTGGCCTTTCTAATTCCAGCACACCCAAAGTTAGTATGGAGAATATATACATATATATTTGTATTATATACATTCTATATATTTGTAATATATACATATATATATTTGTAATTATGAACCATAAAATGCTAAAAAGAATAAATCTATGGTAAGAAGGGGTCCTTAAGAAATCTACTGCATTGGTGCTATAGACTTACACAAGATTTTCAAAACCTTTTATCACAAATGAATCCAAGATGTTGGGTCTAACAAAGGTAAATGTCACAAGGAACTGAAACTCAGACCCAGACAAGTACACACACATATATAGTTTTACCTTGCTGCGCTGGGATCCTGTGACCTTAAGGAAGGATGAGGACAAGAAGCAAAATAGCAATAAACAATTGCTCTGAAGACAACTGAGAGAGCATAAATGGTGTGCACTTCAGAAAAATAGTATTATTTGCTGTCCACAAATTCCAATATACCGCACTTTCTTAGCAGTAAAGATAAATTTGAGAACAGAATACACATATATTAGTAAAGAGGACAGTACAATATAGGAAATGAACCATCCTACAGCATCTTTCTCAGCCACTAATAATCATGAGTTTATCGCAAGTGACTGTCTGCATTTAAAAGTTTTACACGTTGACTTCCATGCTTCAGCAATCTTCATATTAAATTCTTCCTGGAAGGGGTTAGTACTCAAAGTACTCTCCTTGCCTGTGTCTTTCCATGGGCTCTTGGCAATTAAATACTCACTACTGGCCACTGATCTAGTTCTGTACTTCTGACTTCATGTCCTGATATGTAAATTAATGTTAAAAAAAGAAAAGCAAAGAATCTAGTCAATTTTTCTCTATGTCCTTTTGAAAGTTCTAAAGGTAAAACTAACAAAGGAAGCTGCAATTGAGAGTGGTTAGTAACAACTAGTTTTTCTCTAAAATAATAAAATGCAGTAGAAGCAATAGAGGGGAAAATTTTACTTTCCCTCTGGCTAACTGTGTTTAAGTGGCAATCAAACGATACAGAATGTTTAAAAGCTAAGGCTTTTTGAGACAGTCATCATTAATAGAACACACTCCTATGGAACAGAAGCACCCCTACCTCATGCAAGCAGTGGGCACCGTGTGCCACCATCTACATATGTACAAGGAATGAGTGACCTCATTAGCAGAAATAAAAATGAGCCGAATCAAGCAAACGCTTTCAAATCAGAATACTAGACCAAGTGTTTAGTAAAAAAATGTAATGTCATATTTCTCTTCAGTGAATATTATCCTCACATTTCTGTTATAAGTTCTGGGCCACAATGTTCAGTGTGATGAGGAATGCCGGAAGCTAGCTTATGGCTCAGAGTTGTCAGGAACACTCATTCTGAACATATGGCCTTTGTCCTATCATCTCACTATTCTATCCCCTTGGCTTTACGTCAGCAGGTGTTAGGACTCAGATCTGCCCATCCAGCTCCTAACATGCAGTTCCTTGACACAATAAGCTGCAGTAAGCCATGAAGCAAGAAACATAAATGTCAGTTACAAGCTCTATGAAATAATGTTTTCAAATATACACAAAATAAATCTGGATAAATCCATCTTACTTCAAAGCTCTTCACTTCTTCTTCACCATCATCATCTTCCTCATCATGACAACTCTGATAGATCGAAAGAGAATGTCGACAAGAACAGAGTGAGACAGAAAGGACAAAGAATTTAACATGGATCAGTAGTCATTTATACTAGGTCTTAACTCATCATTAACAACACTGTTTAACTATATATAATCTATAAAACACAACAAGCTTGGATAACATGGTAAAATTGTGTGTGTGTGTGTGTGTGTGTGTGTGTGTATAAGAGAGACTGACAAAATGAAATTTTTTCATAACAGAGATTTTTGTTAGTTTCATGTCAAACTACTCATATTACACAATCACAACATTTGCCTTGCTTGAATTAAATTGCAACCTTTCAAGAAAGGAGTTACCATGCTGTTTTACCCTACCATTACCATGCACTAATATAGGCATATATAATAACAATTTATTAAAATTCATTAAAAGTAATAGCCATTAATTCAAATGAATCTTGAAATTTTTTAAAAACATCATTGTTATTATATGTGGCAAAAAATTAATTTCTAACTGCTACAAAGAAAATTATAAAACTGTGATTCTATTAATTTGGTTAATTTTCCAGAAATATTGGAGAGCTATATTAACTAATAAATGCCATCTATTTCATTTTTGTAGCATAATTTCAGATTGATAAGAGAACTATGGTATGTTGTTATGTGTCATCATGTCTGAACTGACTCATAGTTGACCCTTTAGAAGATTTTCAGAGGCAGTAAATGACTTGGGAGGAGACTGTCCATCTTTCTCCTGTGGAGCAGCATGTGGATTCCAACCCCTTGACTTGGGGTTGGCAATGTATCTCCTTACCACGAGGCTACCAGAGCTTCCCTGTGTGGTGTAGTGTTAGGAACATGTGCCTGGGGACAGAGTGTTTATTTAAAATCCTGATGCTGCTGATTATTAGCTAGTTGTTATTGTACACATTCTGTCATCATTTGTGTCTATTCCTTCATATTTAAAAATAAAATATAAAGAATGTTAGGGTTCTTGAAAGGTTACTATTTCGGAGAAATAAATAACAACATTGCATTGACTCAATTGCTATTATTAAAATAGTTTGGAATTAGGAGTGTAAACAGAAGGAAAAGAATCTGGTTGTTGATCAGAATCTACAGTAGACGAATCTATAGGTCTTCAAAATCAGATTGTTTCTACTCTTGTAAGTCTGTTCTCCTATGATTTACAAAGTAAGTGGTTAAGTAATTATGTTAAAAATGAGAAAATGACATTTACTTCAGTAATAGACAGATTTAGGGTATAAACTATGAAAAGGAAGGTATAAAATGTACCCTTCATGCAGTGCTAAATTGTGAAAAGTTCATCATATTATTTCATTCATTTGAAAAACGATGCATTGAGTGTCACTCTTTCAGTTCACAATAATAGACATATGAGCATGGTTTTGCAAAGGAAAAAATTAAATTATCTTAATCTCATTCTATGGAAAAGATAAAAAAAAACAGTATATTTCAACACAAAAACAAAGGTATTGCATTAACTTATATTGCAGGAAATATATGAGCTAACCTCTCTGTCCTACTACCTATGATACCACTTAAACAGACATCTGAAAATGAAAATCAATGAGGACTCATACAACTGTTAGAAAAACAATGTGGAAGACAACTGAAGTTGTCAGTAAGTCCCATATGTCTATTATCAGTCAAACACAAAAAGGCTTCCAGGTGGTAGAGGCAGTTTAGATTGAATAATTACCCAAAGTTCTCTTTTTGAACTCACTGATTGGTAAACTGGAAGAAAGTTTATCTACTTCTCTCAAGATTATTGTTCTAAGCTTTAACTGTTCTAAGCTAGATTCATAGTAAATCACAGACTTTCCTATATTCTTGTTTCATTTCCCTTTTTACATGATACACTGAATCAAAAGCATTTTCCTCTGAGAACGTTCAGCCCAAGGTTGGTGTTCAGCAAATGCAGCCTTTATAAGGTCCAGAAATACACTCTAAACAAGTGATCTGGGCACCCCTTAGTGTTCCGTCTTAACAACCTTTAATTGTGTTAAAGAGCTTTAAGGCATCATGCTAGTGACCTCTGTATAACTATCTAGAGGGAAGCCATCTTGAAAGGGTATGCTCTGTGATGATGATTAAGCACTTAACCAGAGAGATGCCATCTTGAAAGAGGAAAATATACAGCACATGATCTGTGATTACAAAACAACTAACAGAGAAGACGCCACCTTCAAGGCCAGTTGCATGTGCCTACTGATTAGCATAACTCAACTCTTCTAAAGGCAACTCTTGCTCCTCAAACAGGTGAATAAATATGAGCTCTTCCCCACAAACTTAATCTAGCATACAAATATTACTTCAGTATCTTTCTTTACTGAGACAGATTTGAAAAGTCCATATCCCTGTCTCCTATATGTTAGCATATATAATCAAACTATTGGTTTTCTACTAAAAAAAGGAGGGGATATAAAAAAAATTAGAGAAAGGAAAACTGTATGGAGCAGTTCTCCTCTGTATCACACAGGGCTGCCACTGATGCCATCTTGATTGCAATGGACTTTGGTTTTGGAGTTTCAATTAGAATGTCAGAGGTGCGGTTTGTCTATTTTTTTTTTCCTTAAGATTTTTCTAGTCAACAATTCCCTTTCATCAGCTTTTGTAATTAGGACACATAAACTTATTTGCCTTCAAAAATGCTATAACAAGATTTTAGATGAAGAAAAAAAGGTGGGTTATTATTTAATAGTTGAACATCTATTAGGTTCAGTTTTGGATTACAACTAGAGCATATGCAATGGTATGTTTGGATACAATTACAAGGAACAATTCCAACATTCATAAATATCCTACCATAAAGCCATAGCCTTCCATCTTTCACATGATTGGCAAGCTCACGTGAAGAACACTGAGGCAATGGTGCTTTTATCAGCTCCTTCTAGTCCTTATTCTCTTACTCATTCCAGTCACAATCCATTATCCAACAACTTAGGGATATGCAAAACTCTTGTGACCCACTGACCATTTGCAGAAAGCTAGCAAAGTGATTTCTTGGATAATTATAACTTTCTGCCTTCTCTGAGTCTGTATTGCCATCTGAAGATTGCTAGTGTAAAAAAATCTCACAACCAGGAAGATGGGTCTTCTGCCTTACCTAAGAATCCTATTTTAGGGATTTTAAAATTACTATTCCTTTCTAATATACACATTGTTTATCTTAGCCCACCTGTTTCACCACATTTTCCTCTCTAATTCCCTTCCACCTACTCAGCAAGACTGAACAGTAACTATACTTTATTCTTTAAAGAGAACAAAAGATATTACTGGGAAATTTTTACCACATTTTCCTGCCCATCGTCTCTGCCATCTCTTATCTATCAATACCTTGCTTTATAAGCTGTGAGTTTTAACATATTAATTGGACATGAAGCACAATTTGTGAGCTGTAACAATTTTTTCTTGAAATACAATAAAATATAGACCACAATTGCTCACAAGAAAGGGAAGCTTCCAGGAAACTTTTCTTTCAAGGTTTGTATCTTAATATTTTCATAAATATACTGGCCAAACAGTTTCTATATTGTAGGTTATGGTAAAAAATAATGTGGAACTGTTATTTTTTTCTCACTTAAAAGCTGTACTCTCACTTTTTCTCTACTTAATCAAGGACCTGACTCTATACAATATACTTTTGTCTACTGAGCCCCTCCCACAAGCATATGTTGTTGTTTTTGTTAAGTGCCATCAAGTCCAGCATGACCTACTGCGACCCTATGAACAACTATCTGAACCCTGCCCTATCCTGTGGCATCATCACATTTACTGGCACACTAGAGCCCATTGCAGCAGTCACTGTCAATCCATCTGGTCAAGGGTCTCCCTCTCCTTTGCCGATCCTCTACTTTTCCGAGCATCATGTCCTTCTCCAAGGAACAGTCCCTCCCAGCAATATGTTTGAAGTATGTGAGGCAAACCTTTAGCATCTTTGCCTCCAAAGAGCACTCTGACTGCATTTTCTCTAAGACATATTTGTTTGTTTAGCGCTGCATTGGATGTTCAGTGCTCTTCTCCAACACCACAGTCCAAAGGCATCAAACCTGCTGTCATTCTTATTAAATGTCCAGCTCTGAGATGCATAGAAAGTGATCAAAAAGACCATGCCCTGAATCAGATACATCTTATTTCTCAAACTGACATCATTACTCCTCAATAATTTAAATAAGTTCCTAACTGCAGACTTTTCTAGTGCAATATATCTCCTGATTTTCTGACTGTTAATTGTGGATCTAAGAAAGATCAAGTTGTTGACAGATTCAATCTTTTCTCCATCTATCATGATGACACTTATTGGTCTAGGGGTAAGAATCTCTGTTTTCTTGACATTGAGATGCAATCCATATTGAAGGTTATATTCTTTAATCTTTTGCAATAAGAATTTTAAGTCCTCCTCACTTTTTGCAAGCAAGGTTGTGTCATCTACATAACACAGGCTATTGATGAGTCTTCCTCCAATCTCAGTGCCAAATTCTTTTTCATAGAGTCCAACTCCTTGAATAATTTGTTCGGCATACAGATTAAATAGCTATGGAGAGAGAATATAACCCTAGTGCACTCCCTTCTTAATTTTAAACTATTTACTGTTCCTTTACTCTGTTCACACAAGAGCAAGCTGGTCTAGGTATAGGTTGTTGTTGTTGTTATGTGCCGTTGAGTCGTTTGCGACTCATAGCGACCCTAT